CTAGTTCCAGGACAGCTAGGGCTACACAGAGAAACCCTGTCACTAAAACGAAACAAAACAATGCTTTTCTTTTTATAATTATTTATTTATTTACGTGGGGGGGGGGAGGCATGTGCGTGCCACAGTTTGTGTGGAGGTCAGAGGCCACCTTTTGGGGGGTCTCTCAGTCCTAGGGGTCAAACTTAGGCATAGTGGCCTTTACTTAGATCATTTCCCTGACTCTCTTGTCCTCCTTCTCCTCCTCTTCTTTAAATAAAACTCAAATACTAAATAGAAAAAAAACCTCCAAAATACTATAAAGTTGAAAGAACAGAGCACAAAGACCCTCAGCCTGCCTTCACCCATTGCACGTATTTTCTGTTTGTTCTACAAGCGCAGTGTGCACACACTTTCTGCATTTTTTTTTTCACCGTTTGAAGTAAGACAGTAATATCATGGTATCTTCTGCACAGTCCACAAACATCCCGCCCAGGAAATGGGTGTTTAACTCTAATAATGTTTCGCAGTATGCAGGCGCTAATCATATTTTTTTGGTGTGTGTGTGTGTGTGTGTGTATTTGAGATCCTGCCTCCAAAACACCAGAAAAAATAGGATACATGAGACGTAATCTCAATAAAATAAAGTTAGGCATGGAGGATAATTCCAGCACTGAATAGTAGGTGCAGGAAGATCAGTGTTTGAAAGTTGTCCTTGAGAGGGTAAAGTTGTCCTCAGTGAGTAAAATGTTTGATTCCTGTTAATGGGCATCCGCCACTGCTGAATCCATAAATCCAGGTTTATTCTGAGCACAGCATTTCTGTGGCCCCAGGGGAAGTTGAGAGGGGAACCCACAAAGTGGGGCCTTTTAACGCCCTTGGGGGTTCTCCGGTGGAGTGTGGAATGAAGTTACTCCAGGGGAGGGGCTTGGTGTGGAGCCCTCACCCGAACATAAGGGTGCTTGCTGTGCCTGCCTGGCAACCTGAGTTCAATCCCCAGAACCCACAAAAAGGTGGAAGGGGAGACCCTATTCCACGAAGTTATCCTCTGCCCCCCTCCTGCATGCTCTTCCCCATGATGAGTAATTTTTATTTTATTATTTATTTATTTTCCTTCACCTGTTTTGTTTAGTGACAACATTTCCTAGAAGTCTGCTCTACCTGTGTTGCTCTACCATGCCATATTGATATCACTCCCCACTTCTGCCCCCCACCACTGTCCTGGGGTTCCCTGCACCAACACATTTGGAGTCCTAATGTAAGACAGCTCTCTGACCTGCTATCTACTGGCTCTGCCTCCAGGCTCCGAACTCTGCTGTCACTCACTGGGAACTCAGTGCCCCAGTAGGTGGTTGGAACGTGAGAATGCAGTTCTAACTGCTTTGGGGCCGGAGATCTGAGGTCAAGGTTGTGGTAGGCTGGCTTCCCCTGTACCCCAGAATGGACCTGCAGGCCTTCCTTACCCTCTGTTCTGATGGCTGTCCTCTGTGTGTCTGATGTTAGCTCTCTCTCGCTCTCTTTTTTTTTATTAGACAAAGATTCTAACACTGACCTACACCCCCAACTTTTTTATTTTGAAATGGGAGGGTGTGTCACTAAGATGTCCTGACTAGCCTTGGACTCATTCTTTAACCCAAGGCAGGTCTTGAACTTGCAATCTCCCTGCCTGTTTGAGAGCACAGAGGTCCTTGTGCTCACAGATAGCACAGGAATGTTAAACATACAGGGTTGTCTTTTTCAAGGGAAAAGATGTACAACCTGTTTTCCATTCAGAGGGCTGGGAATGGAGGCGAATATAGCCTAGGTAACCCCTGTGTTATCTCTGGAGCCAGGCCATACCTGGCTCCCTGCAGGCTTCCACAACTAGGACCTGAGGTGGCTAATAGTCTAGATGACCTCTGCGCTATCTGTATGATCAGGGGCTCCCCCAGGCTCTCACAAACAGGACCGGAGGTGGCTGATAGCCCAGATGACTTCTGTGCTATCTGTATGATAGAGTCCAGGCCAGATCCTCCACTCGGCCCATAAGATGACACATGTAGCCTGGATCTAGAGCTCGTCTTCATGGGAGAAGTGACGTGAACTTTGAGGAGCGTTTTTGATGTAATTATGCCTCCCTGTGCACACATGGGATTGTGTTACACCAGAAAATCGAATTGTGATGTGTGTTATGCCCAAATTTGCAATCCCCGCAAGCCGACAAGGAAACCAAGAGTCCCGTATGTAAAAGCAAAGAGCCTTGATTTTAATCAAGTTTTCAAACTCCCTCTCTGGTATTGGAATAACTGGAGAGCCCCCAGCTCAATTAGAATAGGGTTTTATAGTAGTAAATGTGGGGGTGAGTCAACTGTAAACAATTGAGACTCCAGCCTCCACTGATTCACTGATGGCCAGAGTCCCAGGTGATAATGGTTGGAGGAAGTAAAGAACTTCCTTTGGGTGACCTGCCCAGACTTAGATTATCATGGCTGGCTCTCACACTGTGCTTAAATGTGTCAAAATAAACTGCCTGGGGCCAGGCTCTGAACTACTGAGTCCTGTTGAACGAGATTTCCTTCTTTTCTTCTTGCCTCATTGGGGGTCATTACTCTGCCAGTCCTGGTGCTTGCATAGACAACCCCCCCCCAACACACATGTATACACACAGTCTTGGCCTCCTGGTGCTTGCATAGACAACCCCCCCAACACACACACATACACACACGTACACACACACAGTCTCGGCCTCCTGAGTAGTTGGGGTGACAAGCCCGTCTCACTGACACACTGTCTTATAACAACCTCTGCATTAGGAGAGATGGCTCAGTGGTTAAGAGCATTGCCTGCTCTTCCAGAGGTCCTGAGTTCGGTTCCCAGCAATCACATGGTGGCTTACAACCATCTGTAATGAGGTCTGGTGCCCTCTTCTGGCCTGCAGACATACAGACAGAATATTGTATACATAATAAATAAACAAATATTTAAAAAAAAATAATCTCTGCACTAGTAGACTTGGCCTACTGTAGTGCTCTCATTGTAGTCAAATTACCTCTTTAAAGACCCTGTCTACAGAGTTTCTCTCACCGGGGACTAGGGGCTTCACAATTAAATTTAAGAGAGCACAGCTGAATCCTCTCATTTCCATAAAGTCTGTGGGTCTCCTTCCATGTCTAGCTTTACCAGCTGAAAGGGCAAGGGCTGGGACCTGCCCTGGTGTGTCCTCTTCTTCCTGGCCGGTTCACAGCCTGAGAAAGAACCTCTGGTCTGGATTTGTCCTCCCAGGAGCCCCTCCTTGCCACCTTGTCACTGGTCTGACTGGACAACTACAGAAGCCCCTGGGGTCCTGTCACTTGCTGTGGGGCCAGGTGGCCATACTGAGCTTCTTCAGCTTCCTATGTTAAATCCTTTCCTGAACCCATTTTCCAGCTGGGAAAACCAAGGCCTGGAAGGTACAGCGTGAGCCAGAATGTCACTTACCCTAAAATAACTCCTGCATACTACTCCTGGACAACTGGTGCTGTCAAACTGTGCTGCTGCCTGCCTGTGCTCCCCTCCTTCCTCTCTCCTTTCCTCCTCCTCCTCCTCCTCCTCCTCCTCCTCCTCCTCCTCCTCCTTCTTCTTCTTCTTCTTTTTTTTTGGTTGGTTTGTTTGCTTGCTTGCTTGTTTGATTTTTTTTTTTTTGAAACAGGGTCTCACTATGCAAACTCTGTCCTGGAACTCATTAATGTATATGTAGGCCATGCTGGCTTTGAACTCACAGAGATCTGCCTGCCTCTGTCGCTTGAGTACTGGGATTACAGGCAAACACCGCTATGCTTGGCTTTTCATTTTTTCCTTTTCTAAGATTAAGCTTATTAAAGTGTGTGTGTGTGTGTGCGTGTGTGTGCGTGTGCGCACTCGCACAAGCACAGAGAGCGGAGAAAGGCTTCAGATCTTCATGGAGCTGGAGTTACAGTTTTGAGCCCCCCTGTTTATGTGGTGACATCATGCGTGCTAGGAAAACATTATCCACTGATTTACATCTCCAGCCCTGGCTTTGATATTTGTGCTAGGTGCATCTGATATCACTGTCCTGGTTAGTGTTAATACTGTGGTGATGTGGCACCATGACCTAAGTCAGGACCTCAAGCAGGGCAGGAACCTGGATATAGGATGCAGAAAATGTAGAGGGTCCTGCTTTTACCGGCTTGCTCCCTGTGACATGCTCAGCCTGCTTTCTTATAACACCCAGGACCATCAGCCCAGGCATGGCACCATCAACAATGGGCTGGAACCTTGTCCATTAGTCACCAGCTAAGAAAATGCCTTGCGCACGCCTTTAATCCCAGCACTTGGAAGGCAGAGGCAGGTGGATCTCTGTGAGTTCGAGACCAGCCTGGTCTACAGAGCTAGTTCCAGGACAGGCTCCAAAGCCGCAGAGAAACCCTTACACGAAAAACCAAAAAAAAAAAAAAAAAAAGAGAAAATGCCTTCCAGGCCTGCCTACCACCCTATTTCTTTGGAGACATTTTCTCCATTGAGACTTTTCTCTGATGACATTAGCATGTGCCAAATCAACATGACACTAGCCAGCATGATCAATTATTCAAAAGAAAATAAGGAAATCAGGCAGTAAGTAGCACAATTTCTGATTTCCCGGTCTACTGGGTTTTCCGAATCACCTAGAGACCTAGTGAAATTCTCGAGATCACAGACAGAGCATGAACCCTTGCTGCGTGGTCTCAGATTTCAGAGTGGGTCCCTTAGAGAGTCAGCTGCCCTGGGAAGCATCTTGAGGGCAGACACTCCTAGGCAGAGGAAGTAGGTACCCTGACTGAGAGCCACTCACCTTCACCCCAAGTGTTGCTCCTGTGTGTGGAGGGCGGGGGCGTCTTCCTGTGTTCTGCATGGCGGTGGGCCAGCTATCAACTTGACTCTAGACTGCCCATGAGGCAGCTCCTGATTTTTCTGTTGAGATGTCCTCTCCCAAGCTCACGCTTTGGTGCTTGACTGGTTTGAGAAGACAGTATGTTGGTCGGGTTCTTACTGTCCTCTCATCCCTACAGTTACTGTCCAGGCTGACTGAGCGGTTCGTGCAGGGCGTGGACATGTTCGTGGAGACAGTATGGAAAGTTTGGATGGAGCTCTTGGAAGTCCTTGGACTTGATGGTAGGTATGGGGATGGCCACATGCAGTGTTGTGTGCTGGTTTTGATGCAGTCTCACTGTGTGGTGAATCTCCCTGCACCCGACTGAGGGTACATGAGTGTTAAGGGCACCACAGCAAGGAAGGAGCATTTTACCTTTAATAGCTGAACGTGTGGTCCACCAAGCTTCGAAGACTGTGAAGATGATGGAGGCAGAGCCTGCGGTGATGATGATGTTATGGGCAATGGACCGACCACCTGGAGCCCCCCTGAAAGCTGAGAGAGGCCATAGGATGCTTCTAAGAGCTTTTGTCTAGGTGCGCTCAGAGCTGTGTTTCAGCATGGCCAAGACAAAGTCGGTAGAGAGAAAAGTATGAGTGGAGAGTCAGGGGAGACCATGCTTTGGGAGCGTGGTCCTGGACTTGGCCTTTTGGCCTCCGGAACTGGGAGAGAAGATGGATTTCACCATCTAAGCGTTGTCAGCCACCTGGTATATGGGGGCCAGAAAATGGATCCAGCCTTGTAACAAGACCCTCTCAGACTTCTCACTAGTCCTGGGCATCCCTTCTTTACAGATCTGGGACCAGGGCTCAAAGTGGAGGCGTGCTGTACAGGTGGGGCCCACACATCACTGCTTTTGTTAGTTCTCACTTCCAGCCTTGAATCACTGATTTCAGCCCTTGAAGGGCTTCATGCCAGGCCATGCCACCTTGCTATTCAGATGGAGAATGGGAGGCAGGGGTGTGGCTCTCAGAGGATACTGTGCAGCACGCTGCCCCCAGGGCCGTTACAACCCTCCCTGGGACTGGAGCTGAGTCAACACATCAGCAAACACTGCAACTGTGTGCAATCCTGTGAGGCTGCCCCAGCCATCCCCTACTGGGATTGTGCAGTTCCAGGTTGCCATCCCTGGGCGGCGAGCCTGTAGAGATAAACTTGATTGCAAGGAATTGCATGGAGCTCAGGCTGGGAAACCGCAGAGCCAGACAGCTACAGGACACCAGGCATCACTGAGGAACCTAGGCCTGTTGCGATCAGCTGAGAGGAGCTGGAGGGGGAGGTGAAATACCTTGTTTCTAGGGTGTGGGTTTCCCTCTTGACTTAGATAAGCTGCAGGGTACCCTAAGGTCTTTCAGAATTGTACCTCAAGCTTGAAGCAGGAGTGTGTGAGAGCTGCCTCTCCTGGAACCATAGTCAAGGTGGCTGTTCTTGGTCCCAAGCACTTCCTTCCCCATCAGTTTTCAGGGTCTTCGTTACAATGAAGACTCCTCCACTCGGATCAGTTTGATAGAAATAAACTTTGAGGCATATAGAAGTTTTCTACGGTCACTTTACAGGGAAAAGTAATTGGTGAAGGCCAGGTATGGTGGCGTATGCCTCTGATCCCAGCACTCAGGAGGCAGAGGCAGGCAGATCTCTGAGTTTGAGGCCAGCCTGGTCTACAGAGTGAGTTCCAGGCCAGCCAGGGCTATATGGGGAACCCTGTCTCAAAAAGCCAAAAGAAATTAATGAAATTTACCCTGCCATGCTGGCTCATGTTCCCAGTACTCAGAGGCAAGCAGATTTCTGAGTTCAAGGCCAGCCTGGTCTACCTGAGACCCCGGCCTGTCTCAAAGTTGTTGAAATCAATTTTACCGTTTCTGTTTTACTGTTATTTTTGGTTTTGTGGTTGTTGTTTTGCTTTGCTTTTGAGACAGGGTTCACTTGTACACCACCCTATTCTCAAATTCACTACGAGTGAAGCCAAGAATGACCTTGAGCTTCTTCCAAACCTCCTGCCTCAGCTTCCCAAGTACTGGGATAACAGATGCAAGCCACTCTGACCAGTCTGAGGAGATAGCTCATTGCAAACACAAGGACTTGAGCTCAAACCACAGCAGCATTTTTATAAAAATATTTTTTTGAGATTTACTGGTCACTTATTTTTGTGTGTGGCTGTTTTGTGCATGTATATCTGTGCACCACATATGTGCAGTATCTGAGGACTTGTCTCCTGGAGCTGGAGTTCCAGGTGGTTGTGAACCACCCTGCGGTTGCTGGTAATTGAATTGGGTCCTCTGCAAGAGTGCTTTTTACCACTTTTCACCGCGGATCCGTCATCGCTCCAGCCTCACAGGTGTTTTAAACTCATGACATGACAAACAGTCCAGAGGGCCACCTGTGCTTCCTCTGCTACTTGGAGGTTCAAGTCCTTGCTTTAATTGGCTTTCATTGTATTAGGTTGTGACAGGAGCCATTGGGTCCAGTCCCTGAGCTCAGCTGTCCCATCTGCTTTCAAAGAAGGTCCTGACCACGTGGGAATAACTGGCCCTGTCTTCTGTTCTGTTTCGTAGTGTCCAACCTGTCACAGTACTTCAGCCCAGCCTCCGTGTCCAACAGTCCCACCCGAGCCCTGGTGCTGGTTGGTGTGGTCCTCCTGGCCTACTGGTTCTTGTCTCTGACCTTGGGTTTCACCTTTAGCCTCCTGCACCTGGTGTTTGGTCGCTTCTTCTGGCTCGTGCGTGTCATCCTGTTCTCCATGTCCTGTGTGTATATTCTGCATAAGTACGAGGGTGAGCCCGAGCACGCTGTGCTGCCGCTCTGCCTCGTCGTGGCCGTCTACTTTATGACGGGGCCCATGGGCTACTGGAGAGGCAGTCCCGGTGGCCTTGGCAGCCCCAGTGTAGAGGAGAAGCTGGAGCACCTGGAGAACCAGGTGAGATTGCTCAACATCCGCCTCAACAGGGTGCTGGAGAACCTTGACCACTCCAAGGACAAGTGAAGGTCAGTTGCCCGGACATCTGAGGGCACCAGCCATAGTGATGTCAAAAGACAACAGAAGAAGAAGAAGAAAAAAAAACAGCCGGCAGCCAAACCCCAATCCTCCCAATAAACCGAGCAAGAATGCCTCACCTGGTATTTCCCACTGTGTGTCAACCTTAAGACCCACTGGAGGAGAAAGAACTTATGTAGAATAGAACTTAATCAGAGTGTTGCTGGTGGGGAAAACGTATTTTTTGAACAATGGATATACCCCTATTAACTGTGTAGTCAGAGAAATTTATCTGCATAGAATATAAAGTTGATCCCCCCCCCAACATTTAAATCTTTTGTAAGGTTTTTAAATAAAGGCAGATCCAGTCAAGTTTATGAGAACTTTGAGGAAAGCACTTGAAGATCTTAAGGAAGTTAAAACTGGCTGCTGGGTGGGTGCTGTGCGTGTTATCTTCACACTCCCAAATGTGACTTTTACGTCTTCTGAGGTTGGAGGTGACTTGGTTCATGAGTGCTGTCTCTTGTTATTTTGGACACTTGGGCCTCAGAGTGGAACCCATCGCCTTTGGATCCTAGGGACCCTGTGCACTTGGTCATTCCATTGTGTTTCTTCATGCCTTTCTGTTTTTATGGTGCTGGGGATGCTGAGCCCACCCCCAGCCCGTCCATTGTATTTCTGAATGAAGGTACCCATAGACGTCCTGGGATCTTTTTCTCCTCTATGGACTTTAATGTAGTCTAACACCCAGCCTTTCTAGAAGGAAAATACACAGATGGGGCTACAAAATGTCTTTGGAGTTTGATACCAAAAACTTTCTGGGTGGGCCTTGAAGATTATTCCAGAATCTAACTGAATCACACATTCCCTGTTTGCCAGCTAGGCCCATATAGCCAACTGGACCCTGGTGGGATTTACTTATTTATTTTGCTTTTAATTGACTCAAGGCCATACAAGATATTGTTTATAGTCAGTAACATCTTTCATTTCATTGCTTCTAGAACATTCTTAGGCATCAGCAACCTTAAGATCTAAATTGTTTGTCCTAAAATTTTTATGATTATGTGTGTTAGGTGCTTTTTGTCTGGGGTCCAGGGAGTTGTTGTTTTAATTAAACCTTGGGGAGAAGGGTGGGCAGAGAATTAGGTCAGAGGCTGAAGATGACACTGCTCTACCAGGACTCTGTGGAAAGAAAGCTGGCTTTTGCAGGATGTGGCTGGGACTGCCATTGACTGTGGTTTTTCAGTGTACCCTGGAGCCACGCTTGGTGGAGGGACCCAGCTGACACCAGCTCTGGTGCCCTGTGTCTGAGAAGTTCTGTTTTGGGCTGCAAGTGTCTGGAATACAGATTCGGGTCCTTCTGAAGATATGTCTGTTCTCTAGATGACCATATGGGGCTCACACTTTCTTGAATTTCATTCACTTGTGGAACCCATACTGGGGAAGTCTCTCCGTGGACATTGGACACACGTGACTTCTTGTGTGAAACATCCACTTATGTATTGTTCAGATACTGTAGACAAATCTACTTGCAGCTCAGGGTGGAAGTAGCTGGGGGAGGGGCACATTAGTGGCTAACTCATCTTTCCTTCCAAATATCTGGCCATATCATACCAAATATTGCTTTGCAAATATTGCCCGTCGGCCTCTATATATCAGCCTCTACAAAGTTGAGCATCCCTGTCCTTGCCTTGGCTCCTCTCGCTGATAGCCACAGAGATGTCCTAGACAGTCCTTTGTAGCTGAGAGTGCAATCCCAGTATTCAGGAGGCAGAGGCAGGAGGATTGCTGCTATTTTGAGGCTAGCTCAGTTTATTATATTCCAGGTCAGCCAGGATTACATAGACCAGAAGCCAGGTTTAGTGGCACACAAGAGCCAGAGGCAGGCAGATCTCTTGAGTCTGAAGCCAGTCTGGTCTATATAGTAAGTTCCAGGTCTATCAGTTATATATTGAGACCTCGTCTTGAGACAATAATAAGAAAAAAAGTTTAAAAAAAAGATCTGCAATATATTTTCTAGCCTGACCAAATGTAGACTCTAAAGCCAGTTTTATAGTTTGATACACATAAACACACAAGATGCCTTCATTTTAATTTTTTTCATTTAATTCTTTCAGATAGGGTTTCCCGTACCCTACTTAGGCTGGCCTTGAACTTAAGCAGCTGAGACTGGCCTTAAACTTCTGCTCCCCCTGCCTCCACCTCCTGAGTGCAGGGATGACGGGTGTGTGACTCCACACCCATTGTGTGCAGTGATTAGGGTAGGACTGAGACAGCCTAGAGTCCAGCCCCAGAATGCCTTCATTCGAAATGGAAGAATGTCCACGGCAGAGTAGAATGTTACTTGACGTTCTAGTAGTAGAACTTCAGATGGAAATGTATATATTTTACCTTGTTTGGTTGTATTTTTCTTTTTTTTAGGCATGGTCTCTCTACATAGCCCTGGCTGTCCCTGAACTCACAGAGATCCCCTGGCTTCTGCCTCCCGAGTGCAGGGATTAAAGGTGTGCGCCTGGCATTGTTTGTATGCATTCTTTCTTCCTTTTTTTTTTTTTAATGTGTGCATCTTTTTTAAATTTTTTATTTTTATTTTATTTTATGTGTTTTGTCACGCATGTCAGGTTCCCTGGAACTGGAGTTTTTTATGGGCAGTTGTCTGCTGCCATGTGGGTGCTGGGAATTGAACTTGAGACCTCTGGAAGAGCAGTCAGTGCTCTTAACCAATGAGTCATCTCTCCAGCCCTGTTTGGATGTATTCTTAACCCCCACATAGTTAAAGATTTTTCTCTTTCTGTTTCCATTCCGTGCAAGTATGCAGCTTTTTGGCCTCCCTTCCTCCATCTCTTTTCTATGTGGAAAGATGTATTTTTGTACCTCATTTCATGCCTTATCTTCGGGGCTGTGTACAGCTCCCCCTCACTGAATAACACGGTAAAGAGACATTTGATGGCAGCTACTGTGGGGTCTGTTATAAAGAGTCCGGCTGGCAACATGACTCACTGGGGGAAGGTACGTGCCACCAAGTCTAAGTTTGATTCCCGGGACCCACACCGTGACCCACAGGTTTTCCTCTGACCTTTGCATACAGGCCATGGTTTGCCATCCCTCCCCCCAAATGAATACATGTATAATTTTTTTAAATGAAAGGAAGATGGGGTCAGGGTTCAAACTGTCTGAAAGTCAGCGTTAATTCCCTGATGTTTCTTTCTCATTTTAAGTACTAGCTTTACCAAGCAAGGGGAGGATTGAGGATTTAGGTGATCGCATTCGGGTTGGTGATTTTTTGTTTCTGTTGTTTGTTTTGTTTTTAGTGAGGGTTGGGTTGGTGATTTATTTTATTTTCATTTTTTCCCCCCAAGACAGGGTTTCTCTGTGTGGCTCTGGCTGTCCTGGAGCTCGCTTTGAGGACCAGGCTGGCCTTGAACTCACAGAAATTCTGCCTCTGCCTCCAGAGTGCTAGGATTAAAGGCGTGCGCCACCACTCTGCCCTTCAGGGTTGGTGATTTGTGATGCTGGTGTTTTATTTTGAACTTTTTATTTTATGTGTGTAGGTGTTTTGTCTACATGTATGTCTGTGTATCTACTACATACGTACCTGAAGCGAGAAGAGGGTGTCAGATCCCCTGGAATTGGAGTTACCATTGTCAGCCGCCATTGTGGATGCTGTAAATCAAACCCAGGTCCTCTGGAAGAACAGTCAGTGTTCTAACCACTGAGTAGTCTCATAGTCTCTTGGTTTTTGTTTCATTTTGTTTTTCAGAGATGGTTTCTCTTTGTAGCCCTGGTTCTCCTGGAACTTGCTCTGTAGACAGGCTGGCCTTGAACTCACAGAATGAGTTTCCGAGTGTTGCTGGGATTAAAGGCACACACCACCACCATTGCTGCTACCACCCAGCTAGTTTGGGTTTTCTAAGATGGTTCTCTCGTAGCCCTGGCTGGTCTCAAACATACTACGTAGCTGAGAATGACTTTGAACCTGCTGATCCTGCTTCCCCCCCCCCCCTCCGAGTACTAGGATTAGAGACATGTGTCACCACGCCTGGTTTATGAAGTGCTGGGGATGGAACCCAGTGCCTCCTACATGCTACATAAGCACTCTACCAAACCAGCTCAGGCGTCCATCCCACCCAGGCCTGTGGTCAGTGTTTATGTAGCGGTTCTTTCCTGTACTTGTCAGGAGACTTACTGGTAACAGTGCAGCGAGTAGACACATGTTCCAAACACGCTTTCCATTGTCGCCAGCTGCATCTCTCACATCTCTCGTCCTTTGGGTCCTTTACTGAGCCTTGGCTTTCTTTCTGCTGGCAATAAAGTGTGGAAAAGAATGTCTTCACTGCTGGTCTTGTGACTCATGATGGGGTCTTCCATTCTAAAAGCGACCCAGGGACATTCCTGAGAGGCAGCTTGGAAACGAGGCTCGGCAGTCACAAGGGCCATAAGTAGAGATGGGGACTTTGGATGGCCTTTGTGACTGCCAGGTAAGCAGCCAGGAGAGCATGTCCTTCCTAGGTACCTTGTGAGAACCTCCAAGGGAGGTCTATGCTCGGAAGCATTGTTATATATGGCCTTGGCACACCCATGCTGGGCCAATGACTTGGAAATAGTATGATCGGGAAGCCAAAGGTGGTTACAGTCCTAGAACCCTGGAAATAGAAAGGTGGTGAGTTCAAACCCATCCTGGGTTATATGGCAAGATCCTGTCTCAACAAACACATACATTTTGTTCAAGAGTCAGCACAGAATCTAAAGTTGTGGGCTCTACCTACATCTTGTGGTTGGTGGGCAGTCTGAAGTGCTTCCTTTCAGTGCCCGTAGTACTTTGTTTTGTTCTGAGACAGGGTCTTAATTCTAGCCCAGGCTAGACTCGAACTCACAAGAGATCCGCCTACTTCTGCCTCCCAAGTGCTGGGATTAAAGGTGTGCGTCACCATGCCCAGCATCCCAGTGGGTTTTGAATCACCCAATTCCACCAGAAAGCCAGCATTGGTGTGCATTTGTAGCTACGTGGGACTTTCCAGTGCGCTCCTCCCAGCCTTCTTTACTTTCGGGTCCTGGGCCCATGAGCTCTACCCCAAGCATGCAAGCTGCTCTCCGAAACAAACTATGACCATTCTGCAATGTTTTTGTTGATCACCATTTAAGTACTTGGACTTTGGGCTCCCCACCTGTGAATTGTAGAATTACATATCTATTATTTTGTGGGTTCTAACCCAATACACTGGACAGCTGCCGGTGATGTGTCCTGACTGGCATCAGCAAGCTTCAGCCTGTCGCATCCTTCTGTGTTTTGCCCTTTGGTGATCCCTCCATAGCTAGGACAGACACAGAGAACCTGTTTTTCTGTCCTGGTGGCACAAGGAGCACACTGTTGCGGTGCTGCCCGGATGGCTATGGCAGCTGGTGGCATGACTGTCTGCCCTGACGTCTCTGCAGATCTCAAGCTTCTCCTGTTGCGTCGGTTTCCTGTCTGCACCTGTGATAAATCTCCGACTATCCTCCAGTTGAATTCATTCCTTGTGGCAGTGACTAGTGTGCAGTTAAATCCCCCGTGAGGTAATTATTTCCCTGTTCTTAGCTGCAAGTCATATTCTTTTTTTCTACCAATGGTATCTTCATGGTTGGGTTTCTGTTTTGTGCCTTGGCTTAGAAATTTTATAGAGTATTTAGTTCATCACAATAGAAAGCCATTCTGTGAACATAGTGGGGGGGGGAGGGCGTGCACACAGGCTCGTGCACATACCTTAGTTGGGAAGCTGATTCTACGAATATCTTATAGAAAAAAAGCGTCAGGCTTATTTTTTTTTGTGAAGTGGTGGATACATTCCTCGTATTTATTAATCACTGGCTTTGATGTGAGTTCTTTGTAGCTCGACTTAAGAACTGGATTAAAACATTGTGAACATTTCAGCTTAATAAATGTTTACTGTAATTTTGTTGTTTGGACTCTTGGATGGATTTCTTCACTTTCGTGAGGTACTTGTGGTAACACCCCTAACTAGAGATTTTAATTTTTTCAGATTTCATGTGTAAGTATGTTTTGACTGCATGAATTTATGGATACCTTATTATGTTTCTGCTGCTCTGAGAGGTCAGGAGAGGGTGTTAGAGCCCCTGGAATTAGAGTTACAGATGTTTGTGGGCCACCGTATGAGTGCTGGGAAGTGAACCCAGGTCATCTACAAGAACAAGTACTCAACCACTGAGCCATCTCTCCTTCTTAAAAAAGACTTATTTAGGGCTGGAGAGATGGCTCAGCGGTTAAGAGCACTGCCTGCTCTACCAGAGGTCCTGAGTTCAATTCCCAGCAACCACATGGTGGCTCACAACCATCTGTAATGAGGTCTGGTGCCCTCTTCTGGCCTGCAGGCATACACACAGACAGAATATTGTATACATAATAAATAAATATTTAAAAAAAAAATTCATTTTAAAAACATCAGTAGCTAGCCGGGCGGTGGTGGCGCACGCCTTTAATCCCAGCACTCGGGAGGCAGAGGCAGGCAGATCTCTGTGAGTTCGAGACCAGCCTGGTCTACAAGAGCTAGTTCCAGGACAGGC